GCTTTCCTCGAGCTCCTGGTTCTCTTACTTTCCGGCTATCCATCACAGCGTCCTGATGGCTTCCTGACCTCCGTCAGCCTTTAAATGTGGCTGTTTCCCAAGGCCCTCTCCCAGGTCTTGCAATAGAGGCCAGTTTGGCCAGTAGGTTGCGGGCACCTAGGATAGCTATGTTTATATATACTTTTTTTAAAAAAAGATTTTTATTTATTTATACAAGAACTGGGGTACAGGCCAGAGGCGTGGGAGGGTGAGAAGATTCACCAGAGACAGAGCGGGAGCAGAACAGGTAGACTGACGAAATACACTGCTGAGGGAAGCAGCGGGCGAGACAGGAGAGGTCTGCCGCGCCATGTGGGAATCTCCCTGGCCGGCCAGGAATTGAACCTGCGCTGCAGAGGCTGCAGACAGCTTCACAGCGCTGCGCTCAACCCACTGTGCCACCAGGGAGGCCCCTGGGAAAGCTATATTTTAAACAAACAGCAACAGCTGAAAATCCCTGCCAGGCTTCCCTGGGTGAATCTTGCCCCATGTTCGTGGCTTCCACTCAGCAGGTTTGGCCCATTCAGCTGAAGATCCAACCAGAGCCTGCCTAGGCCTTACGCCACTTAACTGCTCAGTGGGTAGATGGGGGTCCCACAGGAACATTACCCTGTCCCCAGAACTGCTACCCCAGAGCCATCTCTCCTCCCATCCTCTCCTTCTTGGTAAATGGCACTGCCACTCCTGGAAGGGCGATATGCATGTTTGTTGGTTTGGCTACAAAGTTCACTGGGTCCGTGTTAACTCCCTGTGAGCCCGCAGCTTCCATTTGAGCCCACCACACTGCTTCGCTTCCAGATACCACCCTCGTAGCTCCCCCTCCCATGTGGCAAGGCCCAGACCTGGTCCCTGCCAGACTGGCACCCACTTATCACACCCCGACTTGCCAGCAAAGTGACTTTGGCCTAGTTACTTATCCTGTCAGCGTCTTAGTTTTGTTATCTTTAAAGTGGGGTTAATAATTCCTGCCTCATGGGATTGTCATGAGCACCACAAAGTTAATTAAGTGATAAGCCCTTAGCACAGCACCTGGCACCTAGCAAGCTCTCAACAGATGCGGGTGGGATGGAGACCCAGTTCCTAAGTGGGCACGAGTCTTCTTGCACTTTGCACGGACTACAGTGCAGATCAGTTTCACACCTTTGCCCTGACTCAATGTGGCACCATTTTATGTCCAAGCTGCTTTCTCTTTAACTGGCTGTGGACCTTCTGAAGGCAGGACCATTTGTAATTCTTGATGTCCCCCAGTGTCTGTCTCTGTACTTTACCCCTGGGAAGTGCTTACCAGCCGTTATCTGCTTCGCTGAAATGACTCCCCGTTTCAACCCACTTAACACTGGCTCAGAACAGCCGGCGCTGCTGGGATTCACTTGCTTCTCATGCGTCTTCATGCAAGGCAATCGGATGTCTTCGCTTCAGTTTTCTTCCCTGTGAATAAGAGGCTAATGCTGCCCCCACCTCACACGATTGTAGGGAGCTTTTATTTAACTAATCGGCATGAAGGGGTAGCACAGGTGTTCCCGTTAGTGGCTGTCAGTGGTGGCTGAAGACATGGACTTGGAAGGACAACAGAATGTCTTTTCTTCCACTGCGGGGGAAAAAAAAAGACATCGCGTGCGTCAGCAGGACACCCCAAGAAACCATCTAACTGATGGTGATGGAACATCCATGAACAGCCAGCGTGTGGGCTGGTCTGTCCTGGGGTTTATGGAAGGCTGTTCCCAAATTAACTTATTATGGAAAAAAATCTGTTTCCCCAATATTCGAAATAGGCCTTGGAAGAGCTGCCATAGTTCCTTTTATCTAAAATCGGGTTTTTGTTTCTCGTAACAGATACGGGTTTGGGCTTGTTGTTACTGTTTTTACCTTTTCAGAGGTTGTGATTGACATCAGTCCTCATGTGGAGTGACAGAATAGGGCTGTCTTTGAAAAAGGAGGGAATATGTTGTTTAAAGAGAGAAAAACACTCGAGAGAGACTGCTCAGAATGTTCAGGATGGTTCAAGTTGAGAGTCAGAGTGAATCCACCCTTAGCTGTGAACCGAGCAGGCCTCCCCTTGGGCGGGAAGGCAGAGTCTCCCTGCGGCGCCCCTGCCGCCCTGCTGGAGGCCGCGCTTGCATGTGGGACTTGGTTCAGTTGACCTGGATGGGGCCTGGGTGCTCCCTAATAACTGCTGCAGGGACCTGGGGCCCACAGTTTGTAAAACGCCACCAACAGCCTCATCCAGGTTCTGAGAGCTCCGTAGGAGGAGGCTCTAGGAAGGCCTGGGCCCCGTCCCTCACTGGCTTTTCATGCCTCGAGAGCTGGCTTTGACTCTGCCCGGGGTTCTGGACCCGGCGTCCGCCTCTTTTCAGGAGCCCAAAACACAGACTGAGCCCATCAGTTCACAGGAACATTATCCTACCCCATGAAGCTCGTGGCAGGAACCACGAGAAGAACCACCATTCCTGGTGACATCTTGCTTTAAGCCGCCCCGATGTCATCTGCCCCTTGCTTCTGTCCCACTGGTTCCCAGCAAGCTGAAGCCAGCGGGCTACCACCTCGGCAGCTAGTGGCCCTCTCTGCTGCCTGGATTTGTTTGGAGGATGAAACTTCAACTGCTAATGATGATGCTTTCCACTGATTTAAATATCAAAGCATTAGATTTAATGCTGATTTAAATATCAAAGCATTAGAATTGCCTGTCTCTCAAGGAAAAAGGTTACCAGCTCTGAATTTTCAGACCACTCCAGTGTGGACAGCAGAGCAGGTGCTCCAGTGAGCACGCTGCCTGTCTTTGTCAGCAGTCACCAAAAGGCCCCTGGCCTTTCCTGGTCCCAGCCTGCTGGTGAGGGAGGCTCTCTGTAGGCCGGGGCATCCTCGCCATCCCAGCTGCTCCGCGCCCTGGAGACTGTGCAAGGAAGCTGCTGTTTGGTCTCCCAGGCTTGGGGTGAGTCTTGGGGTTTTGAGTCTCTGTTCTCAGAAAAAATGTCCCCATGTGACAGTGTGATGGGTTGACTGTGGGGACAGATTGACCTCTCCAAACTTCTTACAAGCTATGGCTTCACCGGAGGAAATGCAGTTTTCCCCTAAGATCAGGGGAAGGGTAGTGGGGCAAAAGAAACAAGGCTATATCATTAATATGGTACAGAAGCAGGAAAAGACTCACATTGGAGAAAAGAAAAGATCCTTGGTGTCCAGCTCAGCCCCATCCTGATCCTCGACAGCAGCCCTTAACAGCTACAGACACAGGAAGAAAGAGCTAAGTCGTGCCCTTGGTCCTTACACTTTCTCCAAACCAGTAGAAAGATGGAGCCGGTGGCGGGGCCTGCGCCTGTGGGCTTGGTCCAGTTTGGAGGTCTGTGTGGCCTGTGGGAGTGTGCCCAGTGCTTCCTCCACTCCGGTGTTGGGCCTACTGTTTCCTCCCCTTCTCCCCTCGTACCCTTATGTGACACAGGGGACAAAGAACAGCAGAAAACTGGGTATGATTGAAAATCGGTAGCCCACAGAGTGTTCTGAGTCACTGAGGACGAGGACTGCACGATGCCTTTTGGGGCAGCTTGAACAAAGTTGCCCTTGAAATCCAGCCCAGGTTGAGAAGGGCAGAGGCGGTGGTGGTTGTGCCACCTCAATTGCAGTTCTCAGAGGATGCTGCTCAAATATTGTTGGGCTTCCTAAAATGCAGTTTTACCAGTCTCTAGATGCTTCATCATTTTGAGTCAATGAATCTGCCCAGGGGCCTCCTGGTGGCGCAAGGGGTTAAGAGGCAGTGCTATGAGGCTATCGGCAACCACCGCAGCAGGAGTTCGCTCCCCGGCCAGGGAGATAACGCAGCAGACTTGTCCTGTCTCGCCTATTGCTCCCCTCAGCAGTGTATTTCAGTACATCTGTTCTGTTCTGCTCCCCACTCTGTCTCTGGTGAATCCTCTCACCCTCCTCATCTCTTATCTGCACCCCAGCTCTTTTAAGCAAAAATAAATAAACCTTAAAAAATTAAAAAAAAAAAAATGAATCTGCCCCACTGTTAATCCCAAATCTCTTTCCTAGTAGCAGCTTAGTTGTGCCCAAAGCCCACAAGAAACATGGCTCCAGTGAGTAGGAACTGAGGGCAGCCTGAGGCCAGTGTCTGCAGAACAGAGTCCGAGAGGTCTCTGACTTAGTATTGGACATGCAGCTTGGAGTTTGAAATGCATCTTGGCTTATAAAATCCTTTTTATTGTTGTTGTTGTTGTTGAATACATGTTAGTTTCACTACTGGTGCTGTTGGTTGGTGAGGACTGTGAGGAAGGTGCATGAGACATCAAGCCTCTTTCCAGAACAGTTCTGGATTGTTGTTCAACTCTAAATTTAATCCAAAGCCCACATTTCCACAGTGAGTGTGCCACTGGCTGTAGGGAGCTGTCTGTGGACAAATGAGGATAATGGTTTGAGTGAATTAGCAAGTCTGGAGAGGAGAGCCCATCAGCAGAATGATAAATTTAGGATCTTTAAAGACATCTGGTCAGCGATGCCGATGCCGGAGCTCGTGATTGACTGAGTGATTAATAATGGAAAACCCTGAGTTCAGTGTTTCCATCATCCCTCGCCCACTTCCCCAGCCAGGGCCAGCCGTCTGCTCCAGCCTGCCGGGCTGTTTCCAGATGAACAATGGGGCATTTAGGCCCTTCATCTTTGACCTCTGTGAGTTTAAAGTTTCAGTTTTTCTCTTACTTATGTTTTCTAATTGACAGCTCGTTAAGAAGTCTTCCGACTCCATTTCAAATTTGATGCAATCCATTCAACTTAGCACATGCCTTCCATGGGCCCAGTGCTTGTGGATGCCTCACCTTTGTGCCCTCCTAGGCTTCCAGCTCACTGTCAGGAGCTTCCCTCGAATACACTGTGCAAAGGGCTGATGATGGCTTCGTCCCCCCTGCTCGCTACAGCCTACAGCTGCCAACCCTCAGGACCCAGCTCTAATTGTGTGGTGGATTTCTCTCTAGGCTAAAGCAGCTGGACGAGCACAGTCAGGCCACAGCCCGGCAGCTGGCACAGCTCCTCAGCAAGCAGGACCAGCTCCTGCTGGAGAGACAGAGCTTGACGGAAGAGGTGGGACGTCTGAGATCCCAGGTACTGTGCCACAGCCAGGGTGGGGTGTGAGTCCTCGAGACTGGCTCAGCCTGCAGAGAACACCCTGGGGGCTGTATATGGTGGGTTTCACCGGCCTGTTTCCAGAGCTGCATCTTACTTGGCAAAAACCCCAGGCACAGTGGGGAAGTGAAAGTCACGGATCTAAACTCCTGTGGGAGAACGGGCCTGTGAATCAACAGGCCACATGGAGTGCTAAGTTGCACCACGCAGGCACCAATGTGGAGGGGACAGCAGTGTGGCGGACTGCACTGGTCAGGGGGTCTACTGGAAGGTCCTCTTTGAACCGCTCCCGGAGGGTGTGTACGGCTTGAATTGGTTGAGGAAAGAGGTGCTTCCATAGGGAAGTCATTTTGAATGGAATGTGAAAGGAGTCTCCTCCTAACTGAGTTGAGAGATAATTGAGATGCTATTTCAGCAGAGAGAGCGCAGAGGGCAGGGGAGTTAAGCAAGGTACTGCATCAATTCTTTTTACCCTTGAACAAGCCAGCAAGATTGAGCTTATTGTTTCCATTTTTCAGATGGAAACTAAAGCTTAAACAAAGTATACAGCTAGCAAGCAGGGCAATGCAAATGGAACCTAACTCTGACTCCATAGCCAGGCTTTCCCGGTTCAGGGCTAGATCTGGAGCATCCAGCAGGCATAATTGGAGAACAGAAAGTGTCCAGTCTGGGAAATGGAATGAAATGTGCTTTTTCTGAGTTGCTCCTGCTCCTGTCAGAGAGGTTGTGCTTTTTGCCCATCAAGCAACTTGCTAGAATGAGGTGGCCAATAGGCTGACTGTGGCCTCACCTTTAATAATTAGGATGACACCCAGGTGCCCCGCAAGTCCCTGGAGATGTCACGCACTATGTGCTTGGAATTGTTAATGGAAAAAATTCATTCGAAAGTGAAAATGATGAGAAGTGGTCCCTCACCTTGCAAATTAACCATTCGCTGAGGGAATATCAGGAACCCGTTCCCTCTGAGTGATTTTTCCCTCAGCCCGCCTCAAACAGTAAGTGAAACAAACCCCCAGGGTGCCAGTCGGGGAGGGAAGGCCAGAGGGCCACTCGCCTGTGCTGTGTCCCCACAGGGCCTCCCAAGATGCACACAGGGAAGGGGTCGTGTCCTCTCGAGTCACACAACACACACACACCACAGGGTCCGGGATGCTTGTAAAGAGACAAATTAAAGGAGCGTGAATTCCAAGACCTCTCCTCACACACACACAGCGAGCTGCTCTGGGGCAGGGCCCAGGAATCTGCATTTTTGCAAATGGGTCAATTCTGGGTGACACTAAATTCTGAGAACCTTTGACGTCTTTGGCAGCAGAAAGAACAGAGAATGACTCCGGAGGCCCTGGCAGGTCAGTGAGGTCCGTTCTAAGCCTCAACGTGTACATCTGCACGATGGGCACCATCCCAGCCTGACTCGGAGGAACAGTGGGCGTGTACGGGAGTGCCCGTGAGATGCTCTGGCGGGGTCTCTTGCACAGTAGGTCAAAGAAATGTTTGGGATTTTCTTTTTCTCTCCTCCCCAAACTTGAGAGAGTCCAGGAAGAAATACAGGGAAGGAAGAGGCCCATGGAGTCAGCAGTGCCGGGACCATACTACCCACCTTATTTGTCTCTCCGTCTCTCCTCTTGAAGTTCCAAGCACGTGGCAGTTTCCTCTCCACTCTGGCCCCAATCGTTATTATGTGGGTTTCGCCTTTGAACTCACCATCTGTCTACCTCACAGCACACTCAGATCTTAACATGGACAGTTGATGCTTAGAAACGTCTTCCAGGGTTTTAAAAACCTGATAATTGCCAAATGGATTGCAAAATTTTCATGAAATGCATTTAAAACAAACCCCCCCCCCCAAAAAAAAACAAAAACAAACCTCAGAAAAACTAGCAAGTCTTTTTTCCCTTGCCTGAAGCAACAGAAACAGTTTGACCATCCTGTGCTAGCTGATACTGGCCCATCTGGCTCATCTCTAAAGGGATCCTTCAGATGCAGATATTACATTTGGAGTTATTTTAATAAGAACATGACAAAAGAAATTTGGTGGAGGGAATTTTGGCTTTTAGAAGCAAATACCAGCATTCAAAGAGGATGCAGGGATCCTATTTTGGATCTGTCTGAGGGTCCCAAACTGAAGACCTGCTCTTTCCTCCCTGGTGTGGCGTTGCCGCTAGAAAGAGGCGGCCAGTGTCCTGTGGCTATGGAATAAACTTGAATTGTGAGTTTAGCTTCCAGTGAGCTCTTGCAGGAAGGCCACCGCTTACTATTTGCCCTGCGGTTACTTTGGGGACACTGCATTCTGAAGGTTCTGGAGTGATCAGCCACACTCACTGTTTTCCTGGAGAGTCCTCTGTTTCATCTATGCTGTAGGGATGGTTTAGCTAAAGATATCCCTTTTCTCAGCCCATCTGAATTAAGCATAATAACTTAATTTTGCATATCAAACTCTCAAAATCTCCAGGCACCCAAAGGAGAATGAGTATTTTCTAGCCTGGGCAGCTGATCTTAAACGGAGTCACATTCCTTGGATTCCACCTGTGTAGCCAGCCTCGCGTCCTGAAGCAGACAGCGGGGCTGGGGGTGGCCTGTGGCCTTTGACAGCAAACAAGAAGACTTGATTATTCTCAATCATTTCTGCTTAAATTCTGAAATGTGTACAACAACATGTCTGGCAGAGGGAGCTGGTCACAGTCTTAATGATGCCGCAGTGACATTTCTGGCTGTGAGAATTCCTATCTTCCCCTGCAAGGATACTGTTGTGCCCTGAGCCAGGCTGGCGAGAGCCGGGTGGGCCTGCGGGCTGACCCGGTGGGCGAGGCTCGGGAAACTTAGCACGAAGCTCACGGCTTTTTGTTAGACTTGCTCTGAGTTTACAAATGACTAAAAAAATGGCTTTATTAACCTTCTGCCTATTCTGGAGGAAATAATAAAACAAGAAAATGGCTTTTAAAACCTCGCAAAAAAGGGCCTCCCCGGTGGCGCAGCGGTTGAGCGCTGGGTTGCGAAGCTGCCCGCAGCCTCTGCGGCGCCGGTTCGATCCCCGGCTGCTCCCCGGCCACCGGAGGAGGGTCCCACATGGCGCGCAGACCTCTCCTGCCACCCGCTGCTCCCCTCAGCAGTGTACTTTGGTCCTTCTGCCTGCTCTGCTCCCCGCTCTGGCTCTGGGGAATTCTCTCACCCTCCCGCGCTTCTGACTGTACCCAGTGCATGTATAAATAAATAAATAAATAAATAAATCTTTAAAAAAAAAAAAAAAAAAAAAACCTCGCAAAATGGCTGTGCTAGCACTTACGGAGAAATGGAGACATGAAAGTGTGCCAGTGTGCTGCAAACACGGTTTCCCTCCACTCCGTCCTCCCCGGTGTCTGCTGGTGGAGGGCTGTGCTGCTCTCCCGCTTCTCCAGAGGCGGGCCATGGCCAGGCAGGACCGAGACCCCGGGAGCTGCGTGGGGATGGTGTCTCTGGTTAGCCACTTGGGTCCCAGAGGAGTGGAGGTGAGGACCGACAGGAGCAGGGTCGGGGGCTGAGGCCCAGTGCCGTGGGCGCTAACCCCTGGCCAGGAAAGGTAGCACCAGCTGGCGAGGAAATTAGTCTTTTCTTAGAGAGATGGCATCTGAGAGCTGGCAAGGGAGAAGATGGGTCCACCTAGAGGATCTTTAGACCTGGGATTCCTTTGTTTATATATATTTTGGGGGGGTGAATAGGGTTTCAGCTGATTTCTATTTTCTGATTGCCACCGGCCCAACAGCCTGGTTTCATCCTCAGTCTTCAGTTTCGGGGGGATAGTCCTTCTTAGTCCCTTTAGATGAATCACTTTTACAGTTTTGAAAACCACGTCTGAGACTGATTTATCAGTGGTTAATCAATTGGCCCTATGACTTTTGAGCATTCTTGGCAGAAAATTTACTTTCTAATTTGATTTGAACTTGTGCACGGGTCCAGCAGCCATATGTGATTCAGAATCATGGACATTATCTCATTACGCCAAGGGCCTCATGGAAGAGAGCTGAAAACAAACCCAAGAAGCAAAGACAAAAAAGATGATAAGGGGAGGAAAGGCCTGTTAGTGACCGGAAGCGATCCAGGAAGAGAAGCTTTGCAAAAGTAGCTCTAGGGAGACCAGCACAGGAGAGTGGGGGGCAGCTGAGGAGGGGGCACCTGCAGGAGCCACACAAGTTGCCCAGCTGGGACCTGGAGATGCTTGTGTGGTATATGGTGTCCTTCCCCGAGCCCCAGGGGTTCTGCCCAGTTGTTCCGTGAAGACAGCTACCTGCAAAACAGATGGTGCTTGAATAGAACAGCAAATACACTGAATAAAATAAATTAAAACGCCTCCTCCTCAACCAAGATTTTTTGGAAAGAATTCTAAATAGATGAAAACAAACAATTTGATTTCAACCAAATTGTTGTTTTTTTGTTTTTATCCTGATTTTCACCCGAATTGTCAGTCTCAAAAATAAACACTGATACATTCCCAGAAAATATTTTTCAAATAAAAACTGACTCTGTTAAAGTTTGCCCTGATTCTTTCAAAACTGTGTACAAGACACTGTCAACCAAAGTGACTTGCATATTTTTTTAAATAAACTTGAACATATGCAGCTAAAATGTCATTAACTCCCTGCTGCCTGAGTGTTTTTAAAGGATGACATAAGACCCCAGTGCTGCATTTCAGACATAAGGGTCTTCTGGCCCTCTGAGAAGCTCCCCCAAGCCACCCAAATAGCGTCGTTTAACTTTGTGTTTTTAACTAGAGGCCCTGCGCATAATTAATATTGGAAAGCACAGAAAGCTTCATTTAAGCCAAACCTGCTCTTCCCTTAACAGTTCACTTTGTCCAAGAGTGAATAATTTCAGAATAAGACTCATGGAAGAAAAATAAATTGAATTTTATATTGCTTCAGATACATTTGCTCCACTTATACTTCCCGAGTCAGACATTACATTTTGCGATATAAATTCACAATCAAGATTTTAAAGGGAGCTAAATATTTTAATCCAATTAGACAAGTGAACAAAACACTGAATATTACATGTAGTGTAGATAAGTGGTTCTTGACTTTAAAAGACTGTAATTCCGTCACATTACAACCCCAAATGTCAGTGTTGTCTTTATTTTTAACGCTTTCAAACATGAGGCAGCCAGAGGCTCCACTCTCTGCTGTTGGTGACACTGTCTGTCCTTTGGGAATTCTTAAAATCTATTTACCATGGAAACATGGTTCATGTAAAACACAGACACCTGCCCATGTGCAGAGGAAGCTCTTGTGACTTCTGGGGTTGGAGACAGCTGGGAGATCACGAACTCAGGCTCCCAGGAGCTGGAGAAGGCGCCCTTGGGTTTGTGCTCAGGAGGCCCCACAGCTGCCAGAGCCTGGGGCCAGCGTGGCCTCCAGCTTCCTCCCTGCACCCCTGTGCACTGGGCTTCTGTCTCCCCAAGGTCACAAGTCTCAAGCCCTGCTTGAGATGCTGTTTTCCAGAAAGCCAAGGAATCATATTCCCCACTTTGTTTCTGCAAGGAAGCTTTTCCTGCTCTCTACCTTTTCATTCTTGCGACTTCTACAGTTCTTTTTCTTTCTTTTCTTTTTCTGCACAGAGGCAAAAAGTCAGATCTCAAAGTCAGACTGGCTATGGAGAAATGCGCTTTGAACTCAGATTGCCCTAGAGTTTTCACTGTAGAGACCCAACAGGCGTTTAGCTGGAGAGTATAAATCGCTGGGTCTGTGGTGACCTGGCCATGAACTCTGCTCCGCATTGCAGCTGCCAACAGCCAGATTCCAAGAAAGGCCCTGCCCATCCGGCAGGGTCTGAGGCAACTCAGCTAGAGGTGCAGTTACTTGTCCTGGGGAGGGCAGAGGGAGGCCTGTGGAGAAGGGTTGCCTGCTAAGAGGTCATCATTCCTATCTGACGGCCATAGTTCCACAAAGTTCTGCAGAGGCTTGGTGAGGGCAACTTCCTCTGGAACAAACTGGTGATCACCCATAGTTCACTTGGTGTCTTTACTGCAGGTGGACTTTCAAATCTGACCTCCACTTACTTTGACAAATATCGACTTGGTTGCTTAAGTGCCCTTCACTCAGCTGGCTGGACAATGTTAAAGGTCCTCGTCTCTGAAGTCAAACTGCCCAGCTTCAAATCTCAGCTTTGTAACTACGTGGGCTACTTTTAGCTTCTGTAACACTAAGTTTCTGGCTTGAAAACAAATCAAAACAGCCCCTTCCCCAGCTCCCAGCTTCCCTTTAAAAGGAAGCTCCTGCCTTACCCAGAGCCCAGCAGAGATGACCATGGAGCCAGCTGGGCTGGCACTAACATCACGTTAGGTTGGAAAGGGCAACTCAGACCAATCATTGAAAACCTTTTTTGTACACATAGAAAAATAAGATGCAGAGAAATGAAGTCAATAGATCTGGAAGTACACGGGCAGGGAAACGAACTTAGAGATAGACACTTGTTCCGTGGGCCACACAGTGGGCGGAAGGCAGTGGGTGTGCATCCTGACGGGTCAGGAGGCTCCGCTTGCCAGGGCAGCAGCCTGAGCCGGACCCTGCCCAGGAAAACTACAGAACGGGGCCCTTCCTCCCCAGACACGGCAGGGGAGTGGTGCGCCACACGAGGGCAGGGACTGGTGGATTCCCTGGAGCTCTGTCAACTGAGGGAAATTTTGAAATGCCCCAGATGGATGTGGGGCATTTAACTTTCTACTTAAAAAATGGACGCTTTCTTGCTAGAAGCCCAAGGCACAGGACCATCTTTTGATGTGGTCACACAGACAGAAAATGTGGGTGTGATCAGGACAGAGAGCATGAGGAGGGTGTGTTCCATTTGGAAGGGCTGCTTAGAGAAGGGGAGAGGGAGGAGGAGCAAATGGAAAGAGGCCCTACTGTGGCGGGGAGCACCCCTGTGAGCAGGGGCCCAGCGGAGTATGATATCCCCAGGCTGCAGACTTGGGAACAAAGCAAAAGCAAAGTCTCAGTTGGACCCCACAGAGTGGTTGCCTGGGGAACAATTCAGAAACTCAATTTTTTTTTTAACTCTGAATTTAAAATCACACTTCAGAAATAAATTAGACACAAAAGTCAGGGTTTGTGGAGAGAAGGTTCTGTTAGGATTTAAAAAGAGAACAAAGAAAATGGGCTAGCAACAGTAGGCTTGCAGATGGGGAGCATTTATATCCTCTCTGGACAGCATTTCAGCAGAGCAGCTGCCAGGCACCCCGTGGGCCCTCCTGTCTTTGGAGGCAGCCACAGGCGACTGCAGATGTGGCCACACCACCTGGGAGGACCCCCGGCAAGGGGCCTTGGTGACCAGCTGAAGGGCGGGAGGATGAAAAGATGCTGGCCAAGGGCTCAAGCCGCGGTTCAAACTGGCGGATGTGCACTGGCACCCGCGCCTCTCCTGTGCCCTGTGCTTGGATGATGGCGCCAGCTCGCTGGAAACAAGCGTGGCGAGTATCCCTAAGAAGTGATGGCAGACAAGCCCGATCTGCGCAGTTTCTCTCTGGACATGCTATCGGACAGGGGGACACATTGAGAAAGGTTAATTAAAGATTCAGCCAATTGAGGGTAAGACTGAACGCTGCATTGAGCAGACCACAGACAGAATGTCAATCAAATATGTACCCAGCGCTTACCAGGAGCAGGGCACGTGGGGGCACGGGCGCACCGCGCTGCGCACGATGAGTCGTGCAATGTAAAGGTGAGGACAGCTGGAGAGAGAGTGATAGCTGAGTTGCTACAGGAAGAGAAATTCGGATGACTCCTTTGTTCACATTGAGGCTCTCCCATCTGTGTTGCTCCTGAGCGGGCCCGTGGAGCTGGAGGCCACGCGTGTCAGCGGAGCAGCCTGAGTGCCAGCTGGGAAGGGATGGAATGATGATAAATGACTCGATGGCCCTGGAGCCTATAGGCTCTGCAGACTCATGAGAAATGCCCATTTCCTGGAGCTGGTTTAAAAAACAAATCACGCAGTCCGTTCTCCTAGTTCAGGTCTTTACCGCTTTTCTGTATTAATCATGGTGTGGCTGTGTGTGTCTTCTACCTGAAATTCAGTTAAGTCTTTCACTTAAAATATGTTTGTTGTGGGTCCTGCTTATCCATCTATGGAAAGACAACCTTGAATCTCTAAAGTTAGAAAATCGTCCAGTGTCCAGAGCACTCAGGTCTTGGGGTAGCTCCCTGTCCATGGAGCGGGAGGGTTCTGCAAGCCTGTCCTCAGGCAGGACCCCCCTGGGCCCATGCAGTCAAAACGGGAAGACCCATCAGTTCTAGGTGGAGACTGTATAGGGTTTGATGGGTAGACCTGAGCGGCGGCAGCCTGTGCGTGTGCCCACGGTCAGAATGGGGCTCTTCCTGCAGAGGCACAATGGACACCCCACGGCCCATTCCAGAAGGGCCCACCCACTTCCCCCTCCTAGAGGGCTGTGCATACTCTACCACAAGGTCAGTCAGGTCGCACGAGGCCTGCTGCTGTGGCCCTACCTGGGTTCAGTGTGAAGGGGCCCACCCATAATTAGAATTACTCTGTGTCGCAACCATTCTACTCAGGCTCATTCATTGCGAGTCATGATCAATGTCTCATACACACTGGGAAATGTACTTGAAATGTAACATTACCTTTCTTGTCAAAAACAAAAGCAAAAACGAAAAACCAACAGACTGATTTCTAGACATTTCCTTTTTTTGGGAGTTCTGATCTTGGTAACCCTCAACGAGTACATTTGGCTGAAACTGAGTTGATAGGAACCCTCCCTCTGATTCTAGCTCAGGAATTCGGTACTGGGGAGTACAAAGGCCCACCTGTCTGCCTTGAAGATGATTCCCCCTAAAGACAGAACAGAGTGGTCTGTATCTCTGCAACACAACCCACTTACCTGCTGATAGATATAAAAAATGAGATTTGGAAGATACCATCTTAGTTCTCTATCTAGTCTCATTTTAGGAACTTTCCACTCCTAGAAAGCAAAGATGGTGTCTTATTCATTTTCCCACATGTTGTGTAATAGGTTTCGTGGGATGCTAACTATTTCCAGTAGCTTCCGCCACCACTTGATGACATGGTTTAATTTGAAAAGTCGATTTGGTAGTTTTCTAACTTGTGACTCCCCCAACTCAATTCTCATAAACTAGGCTTGGAACATTTATACCTTTGTAAAACTAGGAGACCACACACATCTAATTCCCTCTTTCGGCAAGTGGGAGGCGGTTTCCATGTGAAAATGCCCTAAATAAATGGTAGCAAAATGTGGAGGTTTCGGTGAGTATCATTTCACTGGGAAGTTCTTAGGAACACTTGGCCTATATCCTGTTTTTGTTCTAGCTTTACTTGGTGTGATGTCTGAGCAATTTTTAGGAAACAGATTGATATAAATCAGGGTCTCCTTTTTTGGACAGGGGGACAGATGTCTCTCTGGCCATGACCTGTAATCAGATGGCCCTTATTCAACAGGCACACACATAAATGTCTGAAATGCGGTTGTTTTCAGATTTAAAGCAATAAAACAAAAGCGGTCACCCTATATTCTTATTCAGCAAGGCCTTTGAGCTGTGGTCAGGTCAAGACTCAAACTTTCATACAATTGGTTATATACAATTTCTACTGTTTTTTTTTTTTTTTTTGCAAGGGAATTTTCTCCAAAAACTTGAGAGGTAAAACTAAACCAGGAAGAAGACAAATCACATAGAAGAACATGATCTATTTAAACTTATTTTTATTATCATTTTTTTCCAGTTACCCAGCATGCCACAATCTGATTGCTGACCTGGATGAAACAGTGAAATAAATGATTTACAAAGAGATATTTACATTCATCTGATTTGTACGTTATATGCCACAATGCACCGAGACCTTCCCCGTGGACACCACATGGGGCTGTAGCGAGCTGCGCTGTCATCACCACATGTTTGCTAAGTGCTCCCTGCGCATGGACAGGCCAGCACTGAAGTCTGATACTAGATGAGGCGACCTCCTGGCGTATGTTCTCAGAAATGGTTTGAAGTTATGAACTTAAATCTGCTCATTTGTATGCTATGTTACAAATATGAGTTTCAATAAACCAACCGTTTAAAGACTTGAGTTATAATATTTCCTTTTTACCTTGTAGTGATGAACCAAACACACCAAAAAGGCACATATTTTAACTAGGCCAAAGGGTATTTAAGGACCAGACTTTTTTCCTGCCATTCATGTTTCTTTCTCTCTGTGATCTACAGATCATCCTTCAGCTTTACTTGCTTTTAATCAACATCCAGTAACACTCCATTATTTATCATCCTGCTACTTTGTGCACAAACAGGAGACACCAGGAAGCACTAAGCATTATCCTTTCCACTCTGTTAACAACAAAAACAAACAAAAAAGCATCTTTGGCTCGGTGGTGTCAGGTTTCTTCAATAAGCCGCATTTGAGGAGTCTAGAAACGTACTTAGTGAAATTACAAAATTTACTTAACAGTTCTATCAAATATCTGTACACAGATCATTATTTTAGTTTAAAATAGTATTTTACTATACACAGTTAAGCCCTCAAGTGCTTTAAAGTAATAAAAATGGGCATTGAAAATGTGTCGTCTTTAAGGATGACAGTGAAACACTATAGGCAAGGCTGCAGTTGGGACAAGTCCCTGACCTTAGAATGTTCTCCCTGGCCAGCGAGCTATCATCATCATCATCATCATCATCATCATCATCATCACCAGCATCAGCATCAGCATCATCATGGCCTCTCAGAATGGAAGTGGCTTAGGCTTTGGAGGTGGCGGGATGACACGCATGAAAAGACCATCGAGTTTCTCGAGCATGGAAAGCTCATGCCTGAAAGCAGAACTTCTTTTCAGATTTCAGATGTTTCTGATTTCATCAAATGTGCTAGACGTAAAGGCTGTCACAGAAAATGTTAATTGTCCCTAATTCTGTTTTAGGAATACAGTAAATAAATTATATAATATTCTAAAAATAGCACCTTTAAAGAATTATAGAGGTCACTTTATTTTAGCCTCCTGGATCTGTCAACCCCAGTGGTTTTGAGAAAAGAGCAAATGTAAGAATGCCCTCAATTTGGCTATGTGACTGACACATACATACGTGACTAACTTTGGTCCCAAAGCCATTCCTCTATCTGGCTCAGCCATAGGAGCAAAGCCAAGTTTCTACAATAGTAGGTTTATGAGGTAAAATCAGAAAAAGGCCCCATCCAAAATGATTCTAGGTAAATCAGATTGTAGTCCAACCACCCTACCCATCTATTACCCATGTCTAAGTTTGTTCATTTACCATGAAGTTTCAAAAATATACTCTAAGAAAGGAAGTGTACAGAGCAACACATTATCAGGAAGACATTACTGATGAGCTACACTCCTCAAGAAATCTGGGTCCAAACCATTTGGAGTGAAGATTATTAGGGTCTTAAACAAATCTCTAAGGAGCTCTATTTTATCCCTAGCTTCACAGTAGATCTGTTCTAAACCCAGTGCCAAGAAATCAGGATCCCCTTGGGAAGTAGCCCTTCATCCAAGTTTGGACAACTGCACTGTTGCCATTTACTGAAAGTAATAAAATATCCCGTGTGTGTTTGGAGATATAAGAAATTTACATATTTTTTCTATCACATTTTATACAGGATAGGTTAATACCAGGTGGAGCTATTACAAATCTTTTTTTTTTTTCCAGAAAAGAATAATATTTAATTTTCTGAGACTATAGAACCACATCCAACAACAATAAACAGAGAAGTAGCAGATTGACATAGTGCTTTATTTAAGCTGTCTGTACGAAGGAAAATAATGTGCATCCCTATCATATACGTGTAAAAATACTAAGGATGTACAGTGTACAAAAACAGTTTCTTTTAGTTATTTCACATCCTTGTGGGTCATATACTTAAGGAAATAAACAGTTTTAGTATGACCAACAGTAATAGTAATACAGTTCTTGGGTTCATAGTTGCGTCTGCTTAAAATCCTTAACCAGATGACTAGATCTTGTGCAGATCTAATGAAGAACTAGCAAGGTCAAGAAATGTCACAAACTATAAAGCTACAGGGAGGTAATTCAATTACCAATTTAGAGGTTTTCTTTTTATTTAAATAAATACTTTACATTTCATGCTTGCCTGTAATGCACTACAAGGAGCAAGATAAGGAGATTCTACTGTAGACAGTACAAACAGTAGCAGCAAAGTGTGGACACTGAGGTGTAATATAGAGACCCTGCAGTTAGGAAGGAAGGCCCTCACTTGAGTACTCTAGGAGAAGCAAGTGGCCCCTGCAAGAACAGTCAGCTTTACGAAGCCAGAAATCAGATATGGGAAATGAAAAAAAATACTGGAATAATGCTATGTAATTAGTGTAAGCTGTGCACAACCCTGCCAGAAATCCATGCAGAAATGGCCAGTTTCCTTCAAGATGGCTGCATTATGACAAGAGGGCAAACTTCACGAAAGAACAGGATGGAGTCCGCAATGTCTAAACTGTATTCTGATAGAATGATTTCAGGTTTCCCATCTGCCAGAATCGAAAATTACCCCCATAGGCAGAAACAAGGGAAGTTTTAGCAATCTCTTACACACATTTCTGTTTCTATTATTCTCCAGACCAATGGATTGATCTGGGAGTGAAAGGAAGGGGTTCTCAAAGTTGAAGACAAGAAAACACCTTGTGTGATGCTAACAGAAAGGATAGGGAGAAGTGACTGAGCCCTGGACCCCAGGGCATGGGCTGGGGACTGAGAGCCAGCTGTAAGGAGTGGCCAGCCTGGGGCACTGTCAATGCTGTCATTAATCTTTAGGAAGTGTCCTTGGCCAAGGTTATGGAAATCACTTTAAGATCTGAGAGAAAAAACAAAGGCTTTCAGTATGCTTAGTGTTATGTTGTCACACTTTCCCTCTAAAAGGACAAACTCTGAACATCAGCCAGTCTCAGTTTCCTTCTCTTTCTCTCACCTGCTTCTTTTTTATATAATGGATGCAAGACAACTTACAGGACATACCTTCTAGTCTACTTTCTTGTCAAAGTGAAGCAGTCAACATAATTTCAAGTGAAAAAAAAAAAAAAAAGGTTAAGCTAGATGCATAAGAATGAATTACCATTTACTGTAACTTCCTATTTGATACTAAGGATGAATTTCACTTAGGTAGAAATAATGAAAACTTAGGATAAAATCTATGTCTGAATATGTCTTAGCTGCCTTAGTAAAATGCCCTTTAACCCCCCTGCAGTTCCAGTGGTTCCCCCCACCGCCAGCAGTGGTTTCAGATCTATAATCAACACTTCCAGATCAAGAGGCTAAGACATCTGCATATGAATAGGATTCATCCTACTTAGAAAGTCACTTGCTCTTTCATACAATGCAATCATAATACTACATCATGCTGTAGTCTTCCATTTGGGAGCTGTCAGATAGTTTAACTAAAATACATTTCCATGATCACTCCAAGGAGCGGGATGGCCTCCTGCTAGCTGCAAGAAGGGCCCCCAGTTCCTTGGACTTCATAGGCTGCTTTGGAAAATGTCAGCTCCTAGCACCAAAGGGTTTAATCTGAAGATCATTAATGAAGGAGAAAGATGAGGTTTGCATACATGTCCCCTTTAAGTGAGAAATGTTGGAATTTGGGGACATGAGTATATACAGAAAAAGAAAAGTTGGAGGTGTTCTTTTTATGTTTTGTTTTTTTCCCTGATGGCTTAATTCAGTGATAAATGTACCATGATCAGAATAAACACACCAGGTTCTTATCCTTTACTGCCTACTTCATAAATACTCAAGATGGGTTCATTTTGTCAAGTAAAGATCATTTTTTATCATCACTCAGGTCTCAGTTTTCTTCTCTACCTTATCTTGCCAGGTGGTCAAATATTTCAATTCTCAAATGAGCAAACATCAACATCCACTTGTTGCATTAACCCCTTGGCATGGATAGTTGGGGATTTTCTAATTTTTAGCACCAAGGGGTTAAACGATGCATTAGCATCTCTTCTCCCAAAGCCAAATTCTAACAAGTAAGTACAATTTCAGAGCCTCATCAAAAACTTATCACACAGGAGAAAAAGTGCATGATTCTTATCAGCATGTACATTCCTTGCACATGGGTCAAATAAACTGCAGTAAGTCTATTTTATGTAAGTTGGAGATGCATTTGCTAACATGACATACAATCCTTATCACTAAAAAATAAATACTACTGCAATATAAACAAAATCATAAAAGGACATTCAAAGTTTTAACAGCTGAGAAAAAGCTAATTCACGTAAAATGAAAGTAAAAAATTAAAACGAAGGCAAACACCTGTTTACCTTGGTGCACACATTTTGGTGAAAAGCAGGACCATTAAACCTGTCTACATTCTTCAGCCATCAGAGGTGATAAATATCAAGAAGGGGAAAGGTTTCCAAGCACAGGGGAAAAAATGCTCTCTGGTGCAAATTGTATCAGAAGACTCGGTAAGTGACCTTGACTCTGCTGTGCACACGCCTCCTCCTTGGTAGAATAATGTGCAGTTGCCCACAACTGCCTTGAAATCTGGATGTCCATGTAAATACAGGGCTTCCCCTGAAGTATCCAACAGGAATTTAAACCCCTCTATATCTTGACGGTTGTTCAGTCCTTCTCTGGAATGCTCCCTAATGAATTCCAGCCAGATCTTAGCAACTTACACCTACTTTGTGCATTGATCTGATAAACTTCACTGACATTTTGCATATGCACATCACCACCCTCCCACAATTGCTTGTTCTGAATATTAAACTAAATCTTCTTAGTCTAATTAGTTTTTGATTTATCTTCTAGAAAGTTAAAAAGTGTACCTAGAATCAGTGTTTCCCATTTAGCCTTCACTGTTAGGGAAAAAGAAAAACTAAAGATAAAAGATGACAATAGGTGCACAAATGAACAGGGCAGGCTCATGACTTCCAAAGATTGTAAAATTACCTCTTAAAGTTGCTATAATTGTAAGACAGTAGCAGCAACAGCATGAGACCTTAGACTGAGATACAATTTCATGCAAAAACAAAAAAGTCAAGTGTATTTGTGTATATGTGTGTTCTCTTGTGGGTGAAAGATGGCCAGGGGTGAAGACCTTTGATTGGTCTGGGATGTCTGAAGGTGCTCCTGCTATTTGTAAGAGCTAGGACTGCTGTGATGTCCAGGGATCATTTTCAGTAATAAATCTAAGATGACAGTGAAGTAGCAGAATGAAAGAGACTTATTCTCGTCCACTTGCAGAGTAGGAAAATTGAGGGAAGTGCGGTCGTCTCTCATTGTCCATGCAGTCCATACCATCCTCATCATCTGTGGGCAGGAAATAGCTATTTTAGTTTTACATTTATATTCTGCAACATTATTGCAGTCAGTATATGTCTAATTTGAGACATAATAAGATCAATAGAGGCAACAGCTTCCAGAAATTTGTTTATCAATACTACATACTTGAAAGATATCATCTCATTTCAAACACATGATCTTTGAAGAAATGATACTATCAAACCTCCTTCAAGACGTTAGTGTTTCAACCCTCAATAATGTGAAAAAATACTATGGAAGACAAGTTTTGTTTTTTTTTTTTAAATAAGAAGGAGCAATCTTCAGTAACCTTTAATTTCATGAAACTTTCATGTCAAAATTGCAGAAGTATGAATCCTAAGGCACCCAAAGTGTCTATCTGGAACTCATTATTAAATATCTTCAAATGCCTGTATTTTTCTTCATAGTACTTTAGGTGTGATTGCAAAATAAAGCTGCATGTGATTCTAGTCCATTTCAGTCCCTGATAATAGCTTTAAGATTCTACATTCATTATTATCTAGTATCTGCCTTAACTCACCACTCCCAATTTTCCTCAAATAAAATTTTACAGTAGAAAAAAAGAATAACACCAAAAAAAAAAAAAAAAAAAAAGGCAGAAAGATGTTAGCACATAAATACTAGCTTCATCAAGGACAAATAGGGAGAAGACACTTGAAAGGCATGGGGAGAGGCTGCTTCCACTTACGCTGTTCTTCCCATTCATCTTTCCTTTTTACTGTATTTAAAAAATTACAAATCATCACCCAAAATCTCCCCGTAACAGCTCTAATGACTAAAATCCTGCACTGCCAGATGTTCTTTCTTATATGTGGTTTGGTGCTCGACCCTCAGTCCACAAAGACTCTCCCATCTGCTCTGGGCTCTGAGCATATAGCACGTGTGCCCTCCGGCCTTCCTGTGTGGGGGGAGATATCCCATTAAATCCCTCCTGCTCAACTTGAAATGCCTGTGATTGTAAGTGATCCTACTGTAAAATAAGTCAAATACCCACCCTCCTTTTATTCAAGAGAAGTAATCCCGTTACGTCACATACAGTAAGCATGCTACCAATTCCCTTAATTTTCCAGCTTGTGAAGAGAGCACCAATTTCATGTAATATGAGAAAGAACACAAGTCAGATTCCACTGTAACGTGTGCTGGGCCCTGTCACACTACAAAGACTTTTCTAACTTTCTAACTTTTCTAACTTTCCTTCTTTTTGGTATTCTGTTTTTAATACAGCCAAACATGAGAACAAGTTGCTAACCAAAATTCATAGCCTCAAGTATACTTAAGAAAATATTATTGTATTAGGTGGGAATAAGTCTATCAAGAAGCATGTGTGACTTCCTACTCTGGGCAAACCACTGAACTCCAAGGGCTTCCATCCCTTTGCAAATAGACCTTGTAAAAAGTCAACATTTCTAGATAGTACCGAGGTTTGGGGAAATCTCTGTTTCATTATAAAATACTAGTTTGGTACCTAAGAAACCACAGATCAAATATCTTCTGCAGTATTTTCAGGTAAGCTGAAGATGCTAGGTGCAGTGGATTGCTTATCTGTTGTTGAATCACAGAGTATAAAAACTTACTAAGAGAAAAGGCAGCTGAAATCTTATTGTTCAGTTTCAGACATGTGCCAATCACAATTGAAAGAAACAGCTTTTCCCACTAACAGCTTTGTTTTGCTGAATGTGTCTCTGCACAGCAAATGCGCAAAAAGCCCTGGACAGCACATGTGGGAAGCCGGTGCTTGTGCAGCCTCAGCCACAGGCAGGCAGCAGCCACCTTGGCTTTCTGGGCCACATCAGGCCTTGGCCAGGCTGGTTAGGCATGGAGCCCAAGTCAGTTGGGCTCTCAAAAGGTGTGATAGGGTTTTTTTTCTAAGGAGCATCTACTGCCATGAGCCTGCATGTCAGTTGAGAATTAAAAGAGAGCCTTCATTCCATCACTTCAACAAAAAATTCATCACATTTTTGAATATAAAAAAAATCTAAATCTCACAGATAACCAAGGGAGGGTCCCACTCCTTGATAGCCTTTCAAAACCATGGTATCTGTCCTGCTCCTCCTATTCTTTCATGTCTGGTAACAGGGAGGGCAAGTGTCTGATCATGGATACAAGATAAGCCAAGAGCCTAGAGAGGTTCTGGGACAGGGAAAGGGGCTTCCCAGGGCCCCCTGTGCTGCAAAGTAGGTAGGGCTGTGGGTGATGAAGTGAGAGGTGGTGACCACTGGCACTTAGCTGCCTAAGTCAGAGCTTGTCACACCCAGTCGATGGATGTAAATAGGTTCCTGGTCTGAAAGGCGGTCATAGGGAATGATGATCATCAACTTGAACTACACTAAAAAACAAAACAAAATACACATCTGGAAAAGAAAACAGAACTATCAATTCTACATCCACGGAAGCAGCATCATCCCTGCAAGAAGCATTAGTTGTTTACTTTTCATAGAACATTTGACAAATGTAATTATATGGCAGTAAAAGCTACTAGATCTCAAAGAAATCATCTTTTTCTATACAATGGAGGCAGAGGACCATTAATGGATATAATACAAGACAACACATTCCAAAATCTGTTCAATTAATTAACACCATGTTACTGCAGCTGTTTGTAGAAAAGGAACATTTTGTCTTTTTAACTGTCGATTTGTTCTAAAAAAAAAAAACAAAACTCCATTCTGTTTTACACAATCAAGGTGGCAAGTGGGAAGACAATTGCTAACTATATTGCTGTGAACTTTCATGAACAAAATCTCTTTGCTTTAGTAGCAAGAGAGCTGTGGTGGTTTCTCATCAGCAACACTATTCAAAGCTGCAAAAAGAAAAGACTATGTTAAATATAATCACATTTCTCTTTTGACCTGCCTTTTAAAGGAATCTAGGATATATACACAGACATTTACATTCAAAACACAGCCCTTGTGCCCTGGAAGAACACAGGAGCTGCAGTTCACAATTACTGATACAAACACAACTCACATGAGAGCCCAGAGGCCCTGACACTACAGAGAGTGCTAGGCTGGACACAGAGGACAGGCTGTGGGTGGCGAGCTAGGCCATGGCCCACTTGCTGAGCTCTTCCACTCATGTTCCTCTCCAGACACCCAAGTTCAGCAAGTCAGGAGACAAGTCTACAGTGTCCTCCTGGCGTGCCCTGTTAGACAGATGATAATGCTGGACTGACACTCTGGGCTGTCCAGAGCCCAGCACCAAAGAACGGTCACATTCAAATTCTGATGCCCAAAAAAGCCAGACTTTCACAGGCTGAAATTGTAAGTGGGTCCTGACACTCACCTAGGAAGTTACTAAAATGTATGTGCCCCTACAGACTTAAAGACAGTGGGTTGCTGGGCTTACACAGAGCTACACATATCAGAAAACATATTTTTCTCTCAACAAGAGAGCCACTATTAGTGAACTAGTAGTGATGAAATGTAACATGTCATGATATTCTACCTTTTTTATATTCTTGATAAAGGAGTTGAAACACTAGATTTGGATTATAATCTAGAAACTGTTGGGTGACTTGAAATACCTTTTAACATTCAATCTCATTTGAGAACAATAAATGCTTATTAATAACATAATCTTATCATGACATCTACCATGTGAGTCTGGAGTTAGGGATGAAGCAGGAAAGATTAACCGGGAAGAGATTCTGGTTCTTGACAGGTGAGATTTTGAAGTCATGAAAACAGATCTGATGGCTAATGAGGTATATATTTAAAGGCTTTTAATTAAACTTATTGATAATCAAATCCTTGCATCATATTTCAGTTAGTCGCTTCCGTACATCCCTCCTTTCATGTCTATTTTTTTTTTTTTTTTTTTTGCTAAGTATTTACTGTACTGAGCCTGTCATTACTCTTAGAGTAGTTGGTCACAGAACAAAGATCTGTATACACTGGTTAATCAGGTGCTTAAAATTAAAAATAGGATTATTTAAGCTTGGAGAACTATAGGTGCCTTTCCTTTCCTAAAGAGATGGTTTCTCAGGCACACAGCAGGGAAAAGACAGGATTCCTAGAGGTTACCAAGTCTTGTTCTAGAGGACAGAGTAGCCTGAACCCAGGGCTTTTCTCAAGTCCATTTTGGATTTTTTTTAAACTGTTAATTTTCTGAAGCAAAATATGCAAACATGACTTTGCATTTAAGGATCTTAAGTATTTCTTTGACTTCCAAAATAACATATTTAATTGTCCTAATGAAGATTCCACAAATGCCAAAGCTCTATTTAAGAAAGGACACTCTTGGGCCTCCCCTGGTTGTGCAGTGGTTGAGCACTGGGCTGCGAAGCTGCCCATAGCCTCTACAGCGCTGGTTCAATCCCTGCCCACCTGCAAGGGTCCCACATGGCGAGAAAGACCTCTCCTGCTGCACCCACTGCCCCCCTCAGCAGTGTATTTTGTCCGTCTGCCTGTTCTATTCCCCACTCTGGCTCTGGTGAATCCTCTCACCCTCCCTCGCTTCTGACTGTACCCAGTGCTTATATGAATAAATAAATAAATCTTAAAAAAAAAAAGGACACACTCAAAGAGGTTGCTGCTGAGGCTGAGAACAGACATGTCAGGACCTTCCTCTCCCAGCACCCACTGTGGATCTTGCGGGTGTCAAGACAAACCCTAACAAGCAACAGTACAATCTGTTAAGAATTTGGATCCTTCTAGTCCTGAAACTAGTAGGCCACTGGCATAACTTGTTTATTCTTTCATATAACACATCTTTACTGAATACCTATGCTGGGCAAAGCACCTAGTTAGGAGCTGGGGTTAGTAGTGAACAAAACAAATCAGATCCTTCCTCTCAAGGCCACGGAATTCTAGTTGGAAAAACTGACAGTAAACAAAGAAATAAGCAAATTAACTAGAAGAATATCAACAAGTAAAGGTGTCAGTGTAGAGAACTAGGCTGCAGTAGGAAGGGTATCTGACGGGCTTTAGACTCATCTTCAGATTGGGAAGCTGAAGAACAGTCATGCTCTGATGAAGTGACATGTGAGCTGAGATCTAAAGAAGTAGGTCTTCATGAAAATAGCTGGGAAAAGAGCACTTCAGGCAGACAGAACAGTACATGCACACGTCCCAAGATATAGTGAAGAAAGGTAGGTCAAGGTGTGGCTGAAACATATAAAGTCAAAGAAATGGATGGAACATGAATCCAACAGGGCTGTGTAAGCCAGTGTGAAAAGTCTGGGCTGAGACTGCAATGGGAACCCACCAGGGGAAGAAGGTGATTTGATTACACTTGAGATTCTATCCAAGTGATGAGTCCTAGCAAATAAATGCTTCATGGTGCGAAGTATTCACGGAATTTACCCAATACGTTCCTAGTGTTGCCTGTCATTTTTATATATTGCCATAGTCCATGCCGGGGTCAGGGGAAAGTAGGCCGAGGCCTGTGTCCACTGTTTCTACTCAGTCAGTCCTTAGCTAGTTACCCACAACTTTCTAACATTACCTTTGATTCTCAGCATTTCTAAGATTCTAGCAATGGCACACTGGACGGAGTGGAAGTCCATAGACCCATGACCGGTGATATGCTGTAAGCAGCTCTTCAACACACTGTGCTTTGCAACTTAAACTGGGCACAGACCAGCTGGTGATGCTGTTCCTGCCTCTGGCTGAAACTAACTGTGGAAATTCAGGAAGCTCAATTTCTCTCTGGGTTTTAATTTCTTCCTTTATAAAATGAAAGTTAAAATGTTTTTAACTACTTTTAAGTCTAAAGAAAGAAAAGTACATGAAGCATACATAATTGTGTATTTAATCTCAGGGTGTTCACAATCACTTGATGTCATCCAGGGGCCCCAGGCTAAACAGACTCAGCATAATGACGCCGACTTTGTCTTTCATGCTATAATCAGTGACTGTATCCAGAGTTGGAATAGCACTTCCATCTTCCCCCTCATGGACACTGAATGTACACTATGCTGTCCACAAATATGCCTTTTAAAAATAAAGAGAGGAAAGGAAATGTGGGAAAGCATATGAAAGAAAAGGAGAGAAAAACTAATATATTACTTTGAGTGAAAAGTGTGCAACTTGGTAAGACTTTTATTTGTTCAAGTTATGTTCCTGCAACTCAGTTTTATTGTCATTCCTAAGCTAATGATGACAGATACATTCCAAACCTAATGTTGCCAGTATATGAGTATTTATAAGTTCTATTTGATAATCTTTTTTTCATTAAAGTTCATCTATTGAGGGTATTTACCAACATGTAAGGCACACCTTAGCATATGTGGAAAGATTTTAAGTGATGCATGAATGTTAAAAGTAAGCACTTTATGTGTATCAAAAAATTACTAGCAAACTGAACTGTGCCTTCACAGATATTACTTAAGACAAAGCTAAGTAAAAGACTGACTCAATTTAATGTGAATTTAAAAACTATTAAGTGAGTAGGAGACCAGAATTAGCAAAATTCTGAAGGTGGTATTTGAATGAGATGTTGGGAAACATAGCAGGTCTCTATTTCAGAATTTTCAGCTGATGTCAAAAGAATCTATTTGAGAACAGTAAAAAAGGACTAATGAGTCTATAATCCAGCATATAATTCTCAGTCTACAGTTTTCCTATAAATTATTCTTCCTACCCAGAAAGGCTTTTTTTTTTTAGCTACCTGTCTTCTGGTGTTTTCATTTTGGGAACTCCACATTCTTGAGAGGAATGGAATACAACACTGTGGAATTTGAGCTTGAAAATAGCCAATAAAAAAATGACTATTTTCTTCTATGATATTGGAATGTTATTGACTTCAAGATTTACTTACATTTTTCAGGTGGTGTTATTGTAATAGTTTGAGCTGTAAATTCTTCATCAAAATATCTAGTATCTGTTTCAGATGTTACTTGAGGCTTAAAAGGAGGTATAAGCTGTAAGAAGAAAAACGAAACACTGTTAGCATATCTCAATTTAGGAAAATAAATTTCTCAGACAATATTAGAGAATAAATAACTAAATAAACAGAGTAAAAGATGACTGTTGAGTCACTGTGTAGAGTAGATTTGCTTCCTAGTTAGCAGTCTAAATGTACAACAGTGGGTACTTGGTTGTTCTGTTAAAATTTGAAGGATTACATAAAGCAGAACAAGCAAGAACCATAGAACAGGACAAGGATGCTGAAGGAGTATCCTAATTGCTTTCCCAATAAAAACATACATATACAAAATGCAAGCTCTTTTTAATGCAACAAAAGCAAAACTTTGTTGGCTTCCGTTTACCTCTATTCCTACTACCTCGTTGAATAACATAATAACATAATTTTCGAGGTCACAGACAGAGTGTCACCTTTGTACTGAATTACTTGTGTCACCTTTAACTCTGAATTACTTGAGATGGGCATTAATGTTTGTCCCTGTTCTGGAACAAAAGTTCTTAGCAGTTCTGGAAGTTATACATAAATATTTTGTCCATAGTTTTCATTAGTCCTTAAAGGCGGTCAAGACTCCAAAAAGGCTAAGAGTAATTGCTTCCAGACTGACAGACCTGAACTCATTTTATCAGACCTACAGCAAACATGAGGGGAGGTGGAGCCTTGGGTTGCTGAAGGCAACAGGAGAGAGGAAGGGGCTCTGGCCTGTTTCTTTCTAACAGTAAGAAGTCAGTCCCAGGGCCTGGAGTCAGAGTATGTGTCCTGAGGAGCACCATTCAGAACAGGATATGCTGCTTTAGATAAAATTAGTTTATTTAATAAAGTTTTTACACAGAAATACACATTTGTTTTCTGATCAATGTACTTTCTTTCTCTTACACCAAGTTTATGTTAATAAAGTAAAATATGGAAATTATTAGCTAGACAGAGTATAACTTATAAAACCAGGGATGACCAGAATTAAAATATGTTTTCATAACAAAGGATCATATTTCAGATTATGGCACATGATAGAGGGCACTTTTAATTTCTTTCCTTTTTATAGTTCTTTCTGTTTGCCCTCAATATGCAGCTATTTTAAAGTGTCTATATAGTAGCAAGCACTCTTTTGGGGATGGAACCAAATTCAGGTTTCAATTGTCAGCTAGTGACAGCTGTTACGGAATACCATTGCTCCTCTCTCAGTACCTTTAATCCCACTTGAAACAAGTTCCTCTGCTGCTGTTGAGAAGAAACCTACAGCAGTGATGAAACATGTTTCTTTCTAGTTGCTGTACGGTAGTGGACATAAGCAAACAGTTCACTCAACTGAGGAAAAACTTCCCTCTTCCATTTGAACACAAGTGCATTCTTTACACCAGCATCACACACATGGACATAAGGAAAACACTAACTGTGAGAGAATGGAATATTTTCAGTTTTCCCTTCAGAAAACTGAGGGTAACTGCCTCTAACTGGCAGGAACTCAGGGGTAGTGATTCTGGTTATGACCTTCTTTCTGACTCACCATTCAATATTCAAAAACTAGTCTTCATTGTTCCAATCAAATAATTTGTCACTAGAAATTCTTTTAGCAGAATTGGGCTTCTGTTGAGCATGTGGAGTAGGTTTTGCTTATCTCTGCCCACCCTTCCCATCTGTTTCCTTCGTATGGCAAAAACTTAAAATCTACCTTCAAGTTAGGGAGAAAGCTGCTATCTTTTTAGATGAGAATAGCCACTTGTAACTTTAAAAAACTGAAACAGATCTGAAAATAGTTTTGAAAAGATTACAAGGGGGATTAAAATAGGTTCTGTTCAAATATCACAATATTACAAAAGCCTTACTTGATCTCCTCGCTCAGTCACCCTCCCTATTTCTTATCTTCACACTTCATTTTTCTTTAAGACATTTCAGTAGCTGACAACTATACATACCTACATACACACATGCAAAATATATGTGCATTTGCTTATTATCTACTTTTCTCCAATAAAACCTAAATTTCCTGAGGACAACTGCAATGTAAGAACAGTTTTATTGAGATATGACTGACATACAATAAATTGCACATGCCATAAGTGTACAATTTTCTGTCTTGACAAATGTAGACAATCACGAAATTATCACCACAGTCAAGATGATGAATGTGTCCCTCACTCACGTCCACTTAGTTTTCTAAAAACACCATGTGATCATGCCCTTTCTCCAATCCCCCTGTAGGCGGTGACTCACATGCTTTCTGCCATGATAGATTTGTATTTTCTAGAGTCTTATGTAAATGAATTGCATGGTACATATTCTTTGTCTTTTGTTTTTTTTTCATTTAGCATGATTATTCTGACAGTTATCCCTGTTATTGCAAGAAGTTATCCATTTTACCACTGTCTAATACTCCATCACAACAATACCACAGTTTGTTCATTCCTTCAGTTGGTGATATTTGGGTTGCTTCCAGTTGAGGTTAATTACAAATAAAGCTGCTAGGAATCCTTATGTCCAAGTCTCTGCTTGGAAATGATTTATTTTGCACAAATATGAAGGAGTAGAATGGCTAGGACATAGTGTAACTGTACATTTAAATGTAAGAAACCACTACAAGCAGAAAGTAGCTGCATTGTTTTATATTACTACCAACAGGTTTCATAGTATCACATTCTTGCCAACATTGATTTGATCAGTCTTTTCAATATTAGACATTCTAATGTGTGGTGCTATTTCACAATGGTTTTAATTTATATTTTCCAAATGATTAATATGTACTATAATGATCTTAGCTTACAAATTTATTTCTTTGGTGAAGTGTCAGTTCAAATATTTGCCCTTTTTTTGTCATTAATTTTAGAGTTTTCGTATACTCTATTTCCTTTTCAGATTTGCGATTTGCAAATATTTTTGCATTTTGTGATTTTTCCCTTTGCTTCTCCTAACAGTGCTTTTTGAAGAAAAGACATTCTGAATTTTGATATGACAGTTTTTTTTTAACAGATATGCTTTATCTAAGAATTCTTTGCTTATTAATCTAATGACACAAAGCTTTTATCCTTTGTTTTCTTATAAAGACCTTACATTTAGGATTATGATCCATTTCGAGTTAATTTTGTGTGTCTTGTAAATTTTTTTTAAATGCTGTTCAATTATTTTAGCACCATTTGTTTAACTGAACTATCTCTGCACTTTGAAAGTTAATTAACCATATCACACGTGGGTCCTATTTCCAGATTTTCTATTCTGTTGCATTGATCTCAACCAGTCTTTATGGGAAAATAAAGATGTTATTTGTTCACAATAAGCTTGATTACAATAAGTCTTGAAGGGTAGTGTGGACCTCTCACATTTTTTTTTTTTTTTGTCTAAGTTGTTGTTTTGGCTATTCTGGCTATTCTGTTGTTTTGGCTATTTGACTATTGCACTGCATGTGAATTTTAGAATCAACCTAACAATTTCTACAAAATAATCTTCAAGAACCTTAATTATAGGGCCTCCCTGACAGTTTAGGGGTTAAGTCTCAGTGCTGTCATACTATCGCCGCTGCAGCGTGAGTTCAATTCCCAGCCAGGGAGCTGAGCCACATGGCGCAGCAAACCTCTCCTGTCTTGCCTACTGCTCCCCTCAGCAGTGTAGTTCAGTAGATCTGCCAGTTCTGCTCCCCACTCTGTCTTTGGTGAATCCTCTCACCCCTACCACACCTCTGGCCTACACTCCAGTTCTTGTATGCATAAATAAATAAAAAATAAATCTTAAAAAATATCTTGATTAGGATTGTGCAGTATTTATATATCACTTTGATAGTACTGTTATTTAATCATAAACTCAGTATATCTCTTCATTGTTTAGTTTTTTTTTTAATTTCTCTCTCTTTTTAACTTTCAGTATATAGGTCTTTCAAATCATTTGTCAAAAGTATCCCTAAGTAGTTTATATTTCTGTTGCTAATGTATTTTTATTAATTTTCATTTTTGATTGTATTGCTGTTGTGAAAAATTAGAACTCTTTTTATATCTTGCCATTTTTTGCATATTTACTTATCAATTAACCCAGGGGATAAATGTTAGTAGCATTATGATCTCATATGATTTTCTACACAGATAACTGTGCTGTCCACAATTAGATGTGTTTACTTCTTTCTTTCCAGCCTATGCAATTTATTTATTTATTTATTTAGCCTTATCTCACTAGACAGAACCTCTGGAACAATACTGAATTAAAAATAATCTTATGAATCTAATCCTATTGCCTCACTTTAACATAACACTGAGAACTCAAATTTTCATATTAGTCAGTTACCCAAAATATCATGTGAGGGCCTCCCTGGTGGCACAGCGGATTGAGCGCCTCACTGTGAAGCTGACTGCAGCCTCTGCAGCACGGGTTTGATTCCTCGCTGGCCAGGGAGATACCCACATATGGCATACCTCTCCTGCCTCGCCTGCTGCTCCTAACAGCAGTGTCTTTGGTCCATCTTCCTGTTCTGCTCCCTGCTCTGTCTCTGGTGAATTTTCTCACCCTCCCACGCCTCTGATCTGTACCCCAGTTCTTGTATAAATAAATAAATCTTTAAAAAAATCATGTGAATAAAATTCCAACTAATTTTAAACCAACACCCAAATGTAGGCTTCACTTTAGGTATCCTTGAAAATACTATTATTTTTGAAACACGGCACTGATTACACAGAAACATAAACTGTCTCTTTATCTGTCTCCTCTAGTAAATTGTGGGTGACTTGAGGATAGGGATCTTATATATCTGCCCAGCATACGCTTGACACAAAGTATGTGAACAGAAAATAGTTGTGACTAAACACTGGAAAATATTCATACAAGATTCTTTGGTCTTTCAGCCTTGATGACTGTTCAACATCAAAAATCAATGAAAATGACACATTTCCTAAAATAGTTTGAGTTTGTTAAAGAGACCTTGGACAAATGAGGAAGGGAATAATCTTGAATTGCCTTGTTAGAATGCACTGAACTCTTAACTACAGCATTCACTGGCAATTCATAGAGCTTAAATAAACTCTT